GTTTTGAGCATTCTAACACTTCCTAAGTGTACATGCAACCCTAATAACCTTGGATCTATGTTTGTCTAATAATCATGCAAAGTTGAATTCCAAGGTTATATTCCTATCTAGCATACATGGGGAACATTTTTAACTTGAATGAAAGATAGAATAACTTACCTTGTTGTTGATTATGATCCTTGAAACCTTGTGAGCCTAGCACCCCAAGTGTGATGCCTCAAATGCTTCACACAACACCAAATGCAAAGGAGTAAACTTTGAGAGAATCTTACACTTGCAAAATCGGCTCTAGCCCTCTTGTTTCTTATGTGTAGCCTATTTTGGTGGAGAATGGGTTTCTTATATAGTGTTGACACATCTAGGGTTACACCATGTAAACCCTAATGTGTCATGACTCTTCATTTCCATGACCCACGGGTTTGTAACTCCCATGGAGCATCCATGGAGCATCCTATGGGTGGAACCCAACTTGATAATCCATGGAGACTCTTATCCCACTATATAAGATATGGAAGATTTACATAATCTACCCATATATTTAAATTAGTTATCTTTTGATCACTTAATTAATTCTAAATTAATTCTTGATCAAACTAATTAAATAATATTATTAATATATTAGAACTTATAATATATTAATAAACCATAAGTGTTATTTCTCTCATTTTAGTTTATCCAATTGCATGGTGCCATGCAACCCAAATGGACCATGCCGGGTCGGGTCAAGTACATACCAGAAATAGTTATGGACTTAGACACCTTATCTAACACCTCCATCACCTCCAAACACTAATCTCGAAACCCTAATCAACCTTGAGTGATCTTGAGCTATTTCTTGCCATTTTTATGATTTAAAGCTAGAAGAAGGAAGCAAGAACTTGGAGTTGCAAGAGGAAGGCTGAAGATCCAAAGCTAAGGACTCATTTCTGTCTTGATAGAGGTATAAAGCTTATACCTTGGCTTCTATTCACTTTGATCTTCTTTTGAGCTTGCATATTGTCACTTTTGGGCCATTTCCAAGGTCATTTCCGAGATTTGAACTCTTGGGGATGTAAGGACTTCAGATCTGGGCACCCATGAGGTTTTAGAAGCTCAAAGTTGCCGCCTTTATTCAACCATGGCCCTATTCCATGACTTGGACCTCCATTTTAGCTTGTGGTGGGTGTTTTAGCTTCATAACACCATGCATACACGTAAAGTTAGCAACTTTACGTGTAATGCTAGTATAAGGAGTCCAGATCTGTGATTTGGAGGTATAGGAATTGATTAGAATCGACTGTATGGATTTGACATATGGGGAACTTGACGAGTTGTTCTTGCGACTCTTCGAGTCGTGTCGTGGTTCCCCAATTTTTCTGTTAATGAGTGAACTCTTTGAGTCTAGGAGATGAATCAGTGAGCTGGACATAGTTTTGGATTTGAGGGTTTAGGAACTCGACGAGTCCAAGGAGGGACCCGAGAAGTTGAGTCGGGATGTCCCGATTTTATGGCAGACAGAACTCGACGAGTTTGTTAAGGGACTCGCCGAGTTGACACGGTTGACCATGAGACTGAGTAGCATGGAACTCGACGAGTTGGGGTTGACTGGGAGTTGACCTTGACTTTGACTTTGACTAGGATGTTGACTTTGACTAAGGGTAAAATGGTAATTTCACCCTGAGAAGGATTATCAGATTTTAACTAAGTATTATTGTGATATTGATAGTCAGGGAGTCGTTGGAGCAGCTATCAGATATTCCTCACCGCGAGTTTTTGCAGACAACTTTGCAAGGTGTGTTTCCTTCAGTAGGAACGGGTCTACGACACCAAGGCCGGCCCATAGTATGATTATGTTAGTAGCTGAGTGTGGGCGAGGCCCGTATCTCCCAGTTAGCTCAGTGTGGGCGGGGACCGTATCTCACAGCTTAGTTTGATTATGGATATATGCCTGATTGATAGGATTAGTTATACTTGTTGTTTGTGTGATACTTGTATGTATATCTAGTAGTTGAGTGTGGGAGGGGCCCGTATCTCATAGCAGCTGAGTGTGGGCGGGGCTCGTATCTCATAGTAGCCGAGTGTGGGCGGGGCCCGTATCTCGTAGTAGTTGAGAGTGGGCAGGGCCCGTATCTCAGAGTTAGCGGAGTGTGGGCGGGGCCCGTATCTTCCAGTTAGCGGAGTGTGGGCGGGGCCCGTATCTCCATGAGTGTGGGCGAGGCCCGTATCTCCTAGTTGCATGTTATGTGTATGGTATGTGGTAGTTTGGGGAGACTCACTAAGTTTCGTGCTTACAGTTTTCAGTTTTGGTTTCAGTTACTTCCACTAGCAAGGGGAAGGGCTCGGGATGATCGCATGGCACACACCACAGTTTTAGCCTGGGATTGTTTAGACTCTGATATTTTTCTTACATGATCTTGATACAGTACTTGACATGATGTTTTTGAGAGATACGATTTGTGATTTATTATGATATTGATGGATTATGGTTTTTACTAAATGATTTTAAAAATTAATTTTTGATCTGTATTTTTGGGATGTTACAATCTATCAATTTCGATTATACCTAGGGTTTGTGATTATTTCAATAGTATGTTGCTATAATAAGAGAATACATAGATCTCTACGTTACATGTGCCTATAACTAGATTTTATGATAATTCTGTTGTGCAAATAAGTTTAATGTAACCTAGAAAACCCATCATGTACTTCATTCAAGATTTCAATGTTACAAGTTGGTATCAGATTTGTGGTTTAAGTGAACCAGGTTCCTTGATTTTGGTATATATACTTAAACCACATGAAGATAATGTTATGGAGGCTTAAAACATCTAGAGAACTGACTAAATACTTGGAAAATGGGTATAATTGTAAACTATTAGACACCATGTGATATTACCATGCTAAATTCTTCCATGAATTTCCTAGAGGAATGTTTATTATTAGAGTAAAACCTAGGAATATGGATGAAAAACATTAGTCGATTAGACCTTGTGTCCACATGTTATCCAATTTTTAGATATCTTAATGCTATTTTTGATATATGTTCTTTATAAAATGCTTTTTGAAAAAGTGTATAACTTCTAGTAACATGGAGGAAAAGGAACGAAAATGGAAGAGGAGGCTGACACATCAAAACGTTTGACCCTTTAATAATATCAAAAGTGATTAAAGAGGAGAGTAGTCCAGACTCATTGTAGTGGATTGCTAATAAAACTTTCGGATGGGTATGAGTCGTAGGGAAAATTATGATTTTCTAGCTTGATAACTAGTGGTAGGAATAAATACATACCTATTGATGGGTTATATTAGACATATATTGTCATGGTTTCTACTGAATGAAGCCAAATACACTCAAAGAGAATATTATTTAGTGACAGGGGTTTGTGTGTGCTAAAAAATGTCCATACATATTGTATAAGAGTTGCTTATTATAGGGATTATTGATTGAAATGGTATGGTCATAGGGAAGAAATTGTATGTCATTATTCGTACCCTTAGAGCATCCAAATGTGGCTATTACAGAGCACATAACGTACCTTACAGACCGAGGTCACGTGGAACATGGTAAATGAGTTATGAGTGACAAGTATTAAAAAATTTAATGTATTAAAAAATTAAATAAATTTAGTTCAAGATAAATATTTGTTTTAAACGACGTGAAAAGGTAAACCTCGATTTTAAGATATATGAATATTTTAAAACTACTCATTTGGATAATCTTTTTTTTTTGAAAAATGTATTTAAATTTTAGGCTGGATGATATCGCTTGGGAATGCTAAAGAAAGAGTTTTGGGATGTTAGGTTTCGCTGGGAACATCACATCGTGTATGCCGTTACCGAGCCTTTTAATTCGAACCCTCTTCGGGATGTTTTTCCACAACTTCCCTCTTCCTTTTTCTTCTTCTTTCATCTTGTACTTTGTGCTTCTTTATTTATACCAAATGTGATCATGAAAGATCCATTTTCATGGGTTTTATAGATGAGAAATATGGAATAAGAAGTACAAAAAGTTGATGCGACTCTTATTTAGCAGAAAAAATGGAGACCCACCCTCCTTAAACTATTATTATAGGGAAATTGAGTAATGTAACCATATTTTAGGATGTTTTATAAATAATAACCATATTTTTTCTTTGAAAAGTAGCTACTTTCTCCGGAATGGGCCTTTCGGAGCAGGCTAAGACCACTACTATAGTCCAATGTTATATATATGACATTTATAAGGAAAAACTAGAATAAGCATTCCAGTCACTAATATTCCGAACTTGTTGCTACCAAAATTTTTAAGATTTTAAAGCTTTTTCTACCATGGATTCAACAAAGCATGTTATTTCTACATCTACGTCAAGAAGAGGACTCGTAGACCTTTTTAGGTCTGCAATCTTCAAAAAAAATAAATAGTCTGCGAAGCCTAATGTCTACGCGTGGTCCGCGCGACGGAAACAGAAAAGGCCAAGAAAATTTACAGACAAAAAACAAACAACACCTAAATGTGTACAAAATGAGAATTATATTACCCTATAAAGTCGTTTTTTCCCGGTTTAACCTAAAGTAGCCGGTTATAAGTACTGAATATATAAAAAACAAGTTAAATGGTCAAATGTGGACAAAAAAAACATTACGGACTAAATGTGTACAAAATAAAAACTATATTACCCTATTAAGTCATTTTCTCATTTATATGTTATTATATGATTTACAATTTTAATTAATTACATGAGTATGAACATTTTGGCACTTGCAGTATAAACAATTATGAGATAGATACTCATCAATATATGATCTTCATAGAAACTATTCACATATATTCTAGAAAATTAAAATAATTCAATTATGTGTTTAGGGCATGACACACATATGTTAACGTCGTTACCAATAATTGTAAACTTATTTGGAGGACATATAATTTCTGTACACAAAACATGAATCATGTGAAAAGGCACGTCATCAGCTAGATCCACCTAATGAATATTATTGCACATCAGTATTTATTATAATATTACCTTTAAATTCCCTTCCAGTTATGTTTTCCCCTTAAGAAGGTAATCATTCATCAAGCAGCTGCAAAGGCAAATTAAGGTTTATCCAAACTTTTCGCACTACAAAAAATATGTCATTTAGTGGCACAAAAAAAATATCACTAAAAGCCCAAAAAATGCCACTAAAGGCTGTTCGGATAATCAGCAGCACAAATAAAAAGTGTCACTAGAAGCGCTCCCACTAAAACCCTTTAGTAGCGCTCCCACTAAAACCCTTTAGTGGCACTTTTCGGTTGTGACGCTGCAACATTTTGAGACTTTAATGGCACTTCATTATTTGCCACAATAGAAGATAAGTTTTATGTGGCATATATATTGTGCCAGTGAATACTAATTCAATTCTAGAATTTATGGTGTTTTAGTGACACATTTTTATATGCCACAATACAATAAAAATCTTTTTGTGGCACGTATTTTATGTATTTAATGTGATTCTAGAATTAAACTGCTAATAACGACAATTGTTTGGCTACAATATAAAATAAAAAAGTTCATTAAATTATTATACGTAAAAAATAATAAAAACTTCATATTTTTAAATCAACGCCAAGTAAATTTAAATGTTGAACCACATAGACACTAAATAAAAAAAATACCAAAACAAAAGTAACAAAAAAACTTTAAAATTAATTGGAGTTGACCTTCTTCTCCACACTTTTGCAAATCCATACTGCAAAAAAAAAAAAAAAAAAAAAAAAGAGTATTCATGTCAAACATATCAAATTCACTAAATAGTACACAAGGTTATTATATTGGAAAAAAGATTACATAAACTAACTAGTGCCAGTGTTGTAAATTGCTCAGTAGAAATCAAATTGCAACTATATTGTTGCAGAAACTTCATAAGTAATAAATGTGGTTAATAATAAGTCATTCATGGTGAATATTTATAAGAAAAAAATGTTATCTTAATAATATTTGCATATACCTTACTAATTGCACTTCTCACTATTGTCCGTTTTTCATAGACCGGAACAATTATGACACCCATTATTGATGTTAATCAATATTCATAAATACAACATATAAAACGTTAAGGAATGTATTAAAAAGATTAAAATGAAGCACCAGTAATGCAAGTCCCCCGTAGTTAAGAGCCTGAAATTAATTTCATCATAAAGCCATACACAAGAAGCACGGAATTTACAAATGAAATAGAGCTACATATTTTTTAAAGTTACCTGTGGATTGTTCTAGTTTAGTTTAACGGCTATTTCATAATTATTTGCTGCATGCTTCCATAGTTCTTTAGCTTCCTTTGTGTGTCCATGAAGTGTGGTTCTATCATATAGGACAATAGCCTCGTTATGATAAGCCTGTATTTGGATTTGACAACAGGTAAAAATTAACGTATGCTAAGAGGAAAAAGTGTAATCAAAGTCGCATAAAGTTTTTTCTCACATCATGAAGGACAAGGTTTAAATGAATAGCTTCAACATACTTTTTGCAGGCTTCTTCAAGTAAAGCATCTTTGGAAGGTGAGTAAGTATTTGAATTAACATTATCTTCATTTTGATGTAATCATACGAAGAACTAATGCCTAATTATATAAACAACAATATGAATGTTAACTAGTTCAAAAAAAATCTCCAACATGCTTAGCAGCATCAACCTTTTCTGAGTTTTCTCTCATTTATAAAGAATCAAATTGTTAAAATAAGGAAAATAATATATATATATATATATATATATATATATATATATATATATATATATTGGGATAAAAGAGTATATGAATTCATTTTTTTAATTAAGTTGATGAATGAAGAATAACTCTATATAGATAAATGACCATAAAAAGGTTAATATAATGTGTTTTCTAAGTTCACAGGTTTCATACATTTCTATAATTTTGTGATTATAGGTGGAACCAAGGTTTCATGACCTTTTAGTTTTAGCCAAATTCACCCCTTGACAGCCTAAAAACAAGTAAGAAACATGCATAAGATAGCTCTATCACCTTTAACACGTTTCATAGTAGTTAGCTACTTCACTTTCTACTTACTCTTAGATCTTAATATCTGTTAATTGGTATGCAAAGCCCTAACCCTATTAGGGATTCTGGTTTTGCAAGTCTACAAAGCACTCTACTAGAGGGACAACATTCAATATAATCACCCATCAATAATATTGTTTGACATCAAAGAAGCCATATACAGGTCTGTTTACCATAAACATACAGAGGACTGAGGAGTACATATCTATAACCATAAAGCCATCACAACCTGATATCAGGAAAAATAATTGATTCTAATGAACAGACTTAAATGGTTATTTATAAGAGCATATCTTTTTACAAACAAATAATGTGCATTAAGACAATAAAACCCCAAATCTCTTAATTAAACAATGAGAGTAAAGATTCATACCAGGTGGATACAATGACACAAATCTATGTCCATGAATTCGATTTCATTGGGGGCCTAAAACCAAAATTAACCAAGGAACATTAAATAGTATCTAAAATGAACAAATTCAACTTTAGAGATCAAAGGAATGCATGTTACCATGAAAAGGAAACTAGAATCTGCAAATCTGCAATCCATTGGAAGCAGAAAATTGGCCGATTCACAGAACCTTTTAGAGATTTAAGAAGGTAAACGAGAGTTAGGCACTCACTATGAACTGTTGTCGTGCATCACAGCCATTGATGGACAGTTAGTTAGCTTAACCAATGTACAGTTAGTTTAACTATAGCTGTTAGATGTTAGTTAGAGTTAACAGTTAGACAGGTAGCTTTTATACTCTGTATATATGTGTAATTCATAATTCATCAATATCAATACACATTAACATGAATATCTTCTCAACATTTTACTCTCAATCTAATTATTAGAATGGTATCAGAGCAGTTACGATCCATCTCTTCTAATTGATTCTTGTTCTAATCATGAATTCTGATCCAATCGTTGACATGAATGTCAATTCATCTTCCTCTTTTAATCCTACCAACATTTCTTCTTCTACTGCGAAGGGAAATGATTCAAACATGTTTTTAGTTTCAAATCTTCTGAATGGCAATGAGAATTACATGCAGTGGAAGTTTTCAATCCAACTTGCACTTGGAGCTAAGAAGAAGACTGGATTCATCAATGGTTGATGAATGGATAAGCAATGATTGCATGGTCAGGTCTTGGATATTAAATGCAATTTCAAAAGAAATCGTTGGAGCATTCATATTCGCAACAACAACTAAAGAACTCTGGGATGAACTGGAAGAACATTTTGGGGAAAGCAATGGTCCTCTCATCTATCAATTACAATGGCAAATAGCTTCGATTTCTCAAGGTGATTCTTCGTTATCAAAGTATTATACAAAACTCAAACAACTTTGGGATCAATTGAATTGTCTTGTTCAATTACCTCAATGTGCCTGTGGTTCGTCTAAGGCTATTTCAGATTTCACATCTTCTACAAGATTGATGCAATTCCTTATGGGATTGAATGATTCGTATGATGGCCTACGCAATCAAATTCTTGTTTTAGATCCTCTACCAACTGTTTACAAAGCTTACTCCATGGAATTAAGTGTTGAAAGAAGTCCCGATCAGGCTACAAGTGGGACTAGAAGCGAGGGCCGCTATTCCGGTCAGCTTGTTAGAAAGGGAACTAGCACCCTAAAGAGTATGAAATTAATAAAACATTCATATCTGGCACTTGAGGAGGTCAATCTTAAGTTGTTGGAAGCTACTGCTAAGGTACTCCCCCTCATCAAATCCAGATAAAATTTTCAAACTCTGTTGAAATGTCTGCAATGCTTGCAAGATCGTTTGGTTCAAATCAATACATGAAAAAGTCATTTCCGCAAAAGTCTAAAAATGATTCAAAAACAAGAAATAATGGTGATCGTTACTGTGATTTTTGTAAAATTACTGGACATACAAAGGATGTGTGTTTCAAGTTACACGGCTATCCAGATTGGTACAAGGAACTCAAAGAAAAGAAGAAGAATACTTCCAATTCAGCACACATGGCCAATGTTCCTTTCAATTCTTTCTATCTACAGAGTAACAATCCTTTGAATGTTAATGGTGCTGAGATCAATCAAAGTGTGAATACAAACTTGAATAATGAAGAGTCTATGAATCAACTTCTTCAACAGTTCAGCCAGTTCATCAAATCGAATCAGAAGTCTGATGCTAACTTTGCAAATCTGTCTCACTTTGGAGATTTTGCAGGTATAAACATATCTCTTTTGAACTCTCTTAAGAGTAATCGGTTTAATAATAGAACATGGATATTGGATACAGGTGCCACAGCTCACATGTGTGCACAATTATCCTCTATTGATAATTCTACCCCTGTATCCACTTATACTCCCATATTTTTACCTGATGGTTCTATCAAATCTGTAACTCATACTGGCTCAATCACTCTTAATTCTCGATTGATACTCACAAATGTTCTACATGTGCCTGAATTCACATGCAATCTTTTATCTGTAAAAGCTTTAGCAACTTCTGCTCATGTTGCTTTCATTTTTCTTCCTACCTATTGTCTTTTGCAGGACCTTCAAACTGCTAAAATTGTTACTCGTGGCAAAATCATGGGAAATCTATATGTTTTAGATAATTCCAGTTTAAATTCTACCAGTATAGAGTCTTTCTTTGCTTCCAATGTGTGTAATGCTGTTAAAGCTAAAAATAAAGATAGTTATTATGTATGGCATAAAAGACTGGGTCATAGTTCTGAGTCTGTATTGAGTCATTTGAGTTTTATACCAATGAAAACTATCAATGAAATGTCTCCTTGTGTTCCATGCCATCAAGCAAAGCAACAAAGATTTTCTTTTCCAAGTAGTGACTCATTTGCTATTTCTGTTTTTCAACTCATTCATGTGGATTTTTGGGGACCATATAAATCCAAAACCATTACAGGGGCTTCTTATTTTTTAACCATTGTTGATGATTTTTCAAGGTCAACATGGACTTTTCTACTAAGAGACAAAACTTTTGTGCATTCAACCTTATCTGATTTTTTTAGCCATGTTTCTAATCAGTACCAAACAACTGTCAAAGTTATAAGAACAGATAATGGAACTGAGTTCTTCAATCACAATTGTCAACACCTTTTCTCTTCTTTAGGAATAGTTCATCAAAGGACTGTTTCTTATTCTCCTCAACAGAATGGAAGAGTTTAGAGAAAACACCAACATCTTTTACAAGTTGCCAGGTCATTGTTGTTTCATTCAAAATTACCCATTCATTTCTGGGGTCATGCTATTCTTATGGCCACCTACATCATCAATATCCTTCCTACTCAAGTGCTTAATTGGGAAACACCTTTTCAGAAACTTCACAATAAAACCCCATCATACAATAATCTCAAAGTATTTGGTTGTTTATGTTTTGCAACCAATACTATTCCTCACAAAACAAAATTTGAACCTAGAGCTATCATGTGTTGCTTCATTGGTTACAATCATGGTCAAAAAGCTTACAAGTTATATGATTTGAAAGAAAAGAAGATTATTATGTCTAGAGATGTCATCTTCTATGAATCTCTTTTCCATACAAAAATGCAAAGGAAATCGTGTTGGGTGAAAACATTGTATTACCAAATATGGTACAAGAACAGGGACAAGATTTTGAAGTTCAAACTCAAGATTTTATTCCTTCTCATGATTACAACTCAGATGATATTGATCTCATCAATGAAAATGAAAATTTTGAAGCACCATTAGAAGAAGAAACGAGCAGTGAAGAAATTGAAGAATTTTTTGAAAATTACAATAATACCCCTGAAGTTCAAAATCTCAGAGCAGGAACAAGACTAAGAAAACAACCATCATGTCATAAAGATTATGTTATGCATTGTGATACTAACGGTTCAGAACCTACCCAACCTCCAAATTCAAAGAAATTTACATCTCCTCATTACCCTCCTACTTTTCCATACTACCATTCTGCCCTTTTAACTCAAACCCATAAAAGCTTCCTAACATCTGTTTCAAAAATCAAAGAACCATCAAATTATGTTGAAGCATGTCAATATCCAGAATGGGTTGATGCTATGAATAAAGAAATTACAGCTTTGGAAGAAAATCAAACTTGGACCATTATAACCCTACCACCGGGCAAGAAACCAATTGGATCAAAGTGGGTTTATAAGGTCAAATTACAACCTGATGGGACAGTAGAGAGATACAAGGCCCGGCTGGTAGCAAAAGGGTACAATCAAACTTATGTAATTGATTACCTTGATAGTTTCTCTCCGGTTGCAAAAGTGGTCACTGTTAGGATCTTATTGGCTTTATCTACTTCAAAAGGATGGAATTTACACCAATTAGATATCAACAATGCTTTTTTGCATGGTTTTCTGGATGAAGAAGTGTATTTGCAGCCACCACAAGGATATGAGAAGGCAAAGAAAGGAGAGGTTTGCAAGCTGAATAAGTCACTTTATGGTCTCAAACAGGCAAGTAGACAATGGCATATAGAGTTTTGTAACAAACTCTTGGATTTTGGATTCCAACAATCTTCACATGATCATTGCCTATTCACAAAAGGTGAAAATCAATCATTCATTGCTTTAGTGGTATATGTAGATGATGTTTTAATAACTGGACCTAATCAAGACAAGATTGATGAAGTTAAAGATTACTTACACAAGGCTTTCACAATAAAAGACCTTGGAAATGCTAGTTACTTCTTGGGTATTGAGCTATTAAAAACAGAGGAAGGATTATATGTTAATCAAAGAAAATATGTTCTTGATATATTATCTGAAGTTGGATTAATTGGAGCTAAACCAGCCTCAACACCATCAATCAAGAACATGCATTTAAGTACAGAAGGAGGAGTGCTTATGAAGGAACCAAAGAAGTACAGAAAATTAGTTGGAAAATTGCTATATTTGAACTTTACAAGACCAGATATAAGTCATGCTGTTCAACAATTAAGTCAGTTCTTGCATTCACCAACAGATACACATTGGAAAGCTGCATTACAGGTGCTAAAATACTTGAAAGGAACCCCTTCAAAAGGGTTGTTTTTCGATAAAAAATCTTCAGACATAACAATTTCAGCCTATAGTGACTCTGACTGGGCTTCATGCAAAGATACTAGAAGGTCACTAACAGGATACTGTATATTTCTTGGTTCTTCTTTAATTTCATGGAAGACTAAGAAACAGAAAACAGTGTCTAGATCATCATGCGAAGCAGAATATAGGAGCCTAGCAGCAACAGTTTGTGAGCTCTTGTGGATCAGTTACATCCTCAGAGATTTGAAGATCAAGATGAATATTCCTGTGACATTATGGTGTGATAATAAGGCAGCAATTCATATTACAGAAAATCCCATCTTTCATGAAAGGACGAAGCATCTTGATATTGATTGTCATCTGGTTCGTGATCAATATAAGATGGGATTTGTTAGACCAAAACACATTTCAACAAAGGAGCAGACTGCTGATATTTTTACAAAAGCATTATGTCAACCACAATTTCAGAATTTGTTATTCAAGTTAAACCTTAGAGATATTCACCAAGGTTTAACTTGAGGGGGGCATATTAAAACTCAGATCAAGTCAGCACGTGTCAATTCAGTTCAGTTTGTTACACCATAGTTAGCTTAACCAATGTACAGTTAGTTTAACTATAGCTGTTAGATGTTAGTTAGAGTTAACAGTTAGACAGGTAGCTTTTATACTCTGTATATATGTGTAATTCATAATTCATCAATATCAATACACATTAACATGAATATCTTCTCAACATTTTACTCTCAATCTAATTCTTAGAAAAGATCATGGTTCTGAATCGACATTTCTCTGCTTTCATGTTGCATAGGCATTGACGGAAACTAATAATCTAGAAAGTTAAGGAACTCACATGAATCATATTCAGATTTCTTTGGTTGCTTGAAGAACCTCTCCTTCAGCTCGTGATTTGAGGCGGCGACTACAGGATCCGAAAACTCCTCGTCTCCATTCTCGTTGAGTAGATTCGAAAAGAAGGAGCTCGAAGAAGAGCGATAACACAATAAGGATTTATGATCTCATCTTGTTGATTTATTATTTGACTTTGCTGATCGTAATATGGATAAGTGTCCAATAAAATCACCTATTTGATCTTGGCACATTCGCCATCGGCCGAATGTATGATGTTGTGAGCTGCAAAATATGATCGATAGGGTATAAGAAATTGGGGAATTGTTAAATTTTAGCAATAAATGCCGGGAATACAAAGCGGTAATTGAATTTTTCTAGTGGCACAAAAATAACAAATGTATAAAATCACATAATAATACTGTAGTGGCATATAAAATAATATATAACACAATACATACATCTTTAGTGACATTTTAACTTTTTAGGCCATCAATAAATATTAATATTAGTGACATAAATTATTAAGTGCCATTAAATCTATTGATTTTACAGTGACATATAAAATATGTCACTAAAAACATACTATAGTGACATAAAAAAGATGTGACATTAGAAATGTATGTCACTAAATGTCATTTTGTTTGTAGTGTCGGAAGAAAATAACTGTAAATCACCATAGTCATAGTGTAAACAGTGTTTGAGTAAACTTTTCGAATATGATCAATACCATTTTCTTAAATGATACAAAAGTTATATTTTCACCTTACGAAGGAGGAGGGTGAACATTTAGCATTGCCAGAGATCCATACATGAGCTATAAATGATGATTCCTCATATAAATTTAGCGGCAGAAAATTCAAACTAACGATGGTGTCAGCGTCAATTATTCCATCACTATCTATTCAAATACTTGTAAAAATATCATTTATATATGATCATCTAAGAGTGATAAATAGGCCGAACAATGATCGATAGTTGTTGCTAATTTTGATTCAATCATTCATTTATAACCTGTTACTAAAACTTTGTCACGCACACGTTGTAACGTCCGTGTTTCTAGGCTAGACATTAATGATGATGTAATAGTCTAGGCCAACCTTTGTAATTTGTTTTGAAATAATAAGATGTATTATTTGATTATTATGTGTTTTATGCTTAATTATTATAATTTAATGAATTAAGGATAAAAATAAGCGTCGAAAATAAACTTTAGCTAAACCCGATATCTATGAAGAAAGTTGTAGTGGTTGAAACAAGGATTCCGGAGATATAAAGAGTACCGAAATCCGAGTTATAACGAAGAAGTTATGACCTGTCGAAGTTTCGTGACAGAACCGACATGACGTTGAGTGACGTAAAAAGTGAATTTTCTATAAAGTACTTTTTAGCCTTAGCGGTCTAAACGAAAGTCATAGTGTTCGTTAAACCGAGAGCATGCATAAAAATCATGCCCAAATCTGACTTCGTATGAGGAAGTTATGATTTTTCTAAGTTTCAGCTTAGCAGTAAACAGCTAAAAACTCGAATTTTAGATCGAGTGATTTTTAGCCGACACAACCTAAACAAGAATCGAAGGTCTCGTCAATATTAATACAACGGTAAAAAGACAGATGAAAACGGACGTTGGATGAAGAAGTTATGAATTTTTAACGGATTTTCCTGTCCCGGTCTGTTAAAAATAATAATATTAAAATAAAGTCAAAATTAGCCAACAGAGTCTAAACAAAAGTTGTAGAGTATAATCTCGCCTACGCGTGCATATAAATAACTTCGTAAATGGAGCTCGTATGCGAAAGTTATGAATTTTTGAAGTTTGGGCACAAAATCCGAGAAATTTCGCATGCATGGCTCGGAATCAGCCACGTCACCTCGCATGCGAGCCTGCCCCGTGTCCGCCTGCTGATTCGTCCGAAGCGAGGTCCAGTCCGAAGCTGACGCGTGTCCTCGCCTTCGCTGCTGGCGCGTGTCTCGCCCTCGCCACCTGTCCGACGTGTGCCCTCCTTTCTCCTTTCGGTCCGAACCCTCGCAGGGTATAAAAGGAGGTGCGAACCCTCCCAGTTCCTACACCACTTTTACACCATTTTTCATCCTTTTTCACTTCTTTCACCTCCCTAAACTTCCTTACAACCCCCCTGAATCCCCGGTATCATATCCAACACCCGAATAACGTCCCGAAGTGTCCGAAGACCCCGATAAATTTATCTTTTCGGTTTGAAGCTCAACCCTCGCAAGGCCCGGTTTTCATTAAAGCTCACGGTTTCATCGGAAACGGTCGTTTTAAGAAACGAAGTCCTGTCCGATTATCTTTAAATCAAGTTAGTGTGTAGTCACTTTCATCTTACACAAAGATATGAAGTATTTTCAATAAAATACGTGCTATGTGTAATTATATTATTTGTTTATTTGAGATGGGTGTTGAATAGATGTTTTATACAAGTTTTAAACTGTATATTTATTTTTATCTACAAATATGTTGGGTAAAACATGGGTAGATGAAATAGTTGATGTGTGTTAAAATGATGAGAGGCCTCGATGTTGTTGTTGTTGTTGTTGTTGTAGTCATCTAGCGGAGTATAGATGACGACCACAGACCTTTCTACACAGTCCAGTGGAACGCTAGCAGGTTCGCAACCTGTAGGTGTTGGTGAACTATATGTTCATTGGTGTACTCCATCCCCCTCATGGTTGCCTTATTTGACATAAATTGCTGAGGAATCCCTAAAGCAGTGTTGTCACCCCGATGAAAATCCTTAGACTAGGTCCCTTATGATAGGTGTTTAGGGACGTAAAGTGAGGATAACGGGAATGGGTAATCAGGGTTATTGTTGGTTGATGAAATTAATAAATTTATTTTTGGTTTATGAATTTAATAAATTTATTATTATTTGTGGGTTGAAAACCCTATATGCTCACCAGGCTCCCAAGCCTGACCCACTCAGCTTTTTATATTACAGGTAGTGGACCTAGAGCATAGTTGGATGATGACGAGGGATTTTTGGATTATAGGCCAGTAGATGTAAATATCTGTTGTAAGGCTTATAATGTACTGTTTATGCTTTTGGTCTGTATCGGAACATGACATCTCGAGGTTTTGATATATAATGATAATATATATTTCTTTAGGAAATGTTTTGATAAATTTTTTTTATCATGTTTTGTTTTGGGGACAAATTCCGCAACATCTTTTAAAAAGATTACTCTGATTTTATTTTAAAAGCATAAACTAAATCGGTCTTTTCTGGCTGAGAAATTTGGGGATGTCACAGTTGGTATCAGAGCATTAGTTTAAGCGAACTAGGAATTTGTAGGATTTCTAGACTTAAACTTTGAATGCTAAGTGATGATCGTGAGATAAGTGTCTACCATATTTTAGACACGAGCACTAGTATATTTTAGGAAAGATGCCTAAAATGCTTTTATGTGCTAAATGCTATATGTTTGCCATATATGCCATTATTTGTTCGGATCTATGGTCTGTTGCCAACCGGATCTGGAAACCTTATGTGTTTAGGATTCTAAGCGTACGACTACGATATTAGAACTAGCATGTAAACGTTTCGGAGTGATAATGAAGATTTAAACGTCTATCGTTAATAAAGATCTAAATTCGCCTAATTTGGTGTATAGATCAAAATGGCAAGAACTCGAAGTGGAGCTGGAAATGCAAATAGAAATCAGCAACCTTAACCCCAAGTGATGGAACAGGTGCCAATAGTAGAAGTTGCACCAGAACCGATCATAATGGTTGGAGTACAAGCCATGATTTAGACAATGATGGCTGAACAAAGGGAGGAAATGAGACAACTATTGCAGAACAACAGGAATGAACCTTCAATGCCTGTTGAACAACCTGAATTAAATGACAGTCAGTCTGAGGAAGGGAATTACAGTAGATCTGTTGGTCAAACTGAACCGCTTGTGGTTGGGAGGAATAACCACGAGGACGGAGTGGAGAGAAATGGATGCAAGTATAAAGACTTTATGACTTGCAAGCCATCAACTTTCACTGGAAAATAAGATCTCGTCGGAGTAATGGATTGGATCTCAGAAATGGAATTGGCTTTCATGACATGTGGTTGCCAAGGCAAGTTACAAACCATATTTGCAGTGCGTCAGTTCAGAGGTGGCGCTGTTCGCTGGTGGAACACTCTGGGGAAGACCCTAAGCCCTAATGAGCCACTGCAACTGAATTGGGCAGAGTTCTTGGTGCAATTCAAGCGCAAGTACTGCTCAGCCCAAAATGTGCTTGAGCTAGAAAACCAATTTCTGACGTTAAAGAAGGGACGTATGTCCATCAATGAATACACCAATAACTTCACAGACAAAATGGACTTTGCTTTGCGTATTGTCCCAGATGAGCTGACAAAATTTGACAGGTACACAAAGGGACTTCCATGGGAGTATGCGGTGCCAGTGCGTGAGGCACTTACTTTGGAGGCAACTATGTGGGCTGCCAAGTCTGTTGAAGATATGATTAAGGGGAGAGCCGCCAGCATGGTTGAAGTTGGCGAAAAGAGAAAGTTTGAAGGAGCTTCAGGTTCCAACAAGAAGAGAAGGTTCTCGAAGCGTTCAAGGAAATTCGGAGGAGGAGCCGAAGCGAAGTGGTGTGACAAGTGTAAGAAGAAACATGTTGGGAAATGTAGCGAGGAAGTCACTTGCTACAAATATGGAAAGCTTTGGCATTATTCCAATGAATGCATCTTCAATAAGAAATTATGTTATGGGTGCAATGAAGAGGGGCACATTTTGAGGGACTGCCTGAAGAAGAAAGAGGCAGTGAAGCCCAATCTTCCACCAAAGCCAAAAGCCAGAGCTTTCCAGATGACACTGGAAGCTGCAAAGGATGCAGTGGATGTCGCATCAGGTACCTTTCTTGTAAATGGATTACCTGCCAATTTATTGTTTGATTCCGGAGCGAATTACTCCTTTATATCACATAAATTTGGTGAAAGACTAGCAATGCCTATAGAAAAACTTGATGATGCCCTAATTGTAGAAGTTGCTAGTGGCAAATTCATACCTGTTAGCGATTGTAGTAGGAATATCGCCATCTACCTGAACGGAAAAGAATTCCTTGAGAAGCTGTTACCCATTGAGTTGAATGGTTTCGACATCGTTCTAGGGATGGATTGGCTTAGCGCCAATGATGTCGAGATACTGTGCAAGAAAAAGATAGTGAGGGTAAACCCGCCTGGAAAAGAGTCGTTTATGGTATACGGAGATAAGCGCAAAGTAAATTCTAGAATCATTTCCCTAATGAAAGCCAGAAAATGTTTATCTAAAGGATGCACCTCATAC